TGGCAGGTGACATACCAGAGAGACAGAGTGTGCTGGGCTACCAGAGAGAAAGGTCGCCTGGCACTGGGGAGTCCAGAAAGGGGACAGGGGTAGGGGGAGGCATTTGAGCTCCTCCCTGGAGGGAGCGGGTACGAGAAGCAGGTGGTGGGGACTGGCGGGACCCAGGGTGAGCAAAGGCACTGAGGCAGGATCACTGAGGCCACATTGGGAGAAACTGGAACGACCCCACTGGTGAGAGCCTGGTGAATAAGACTGTTAGGAAATGACCTAGGCCAGGTGGCACCTCGGGGGCTGGAAGGAATGGAAGGCCATGTGGGGTCCAGATGGTGCCAGGGGCAAGGGGCCCAACTCCCCCATCCCCCCGGGATCCCCTAGCCTTGTCCCTGCTGCTCTCCCTGAGCTGCTCATCTGCTCCTGGAGTGGGGGGCTGTCCCTGTATGCCCAGGGCCATACTTGCAGGCAACTTCCCTCAACACCACAAGAGGAAGGTTCCACCCTCCCAGGTACTACGTGACCTTGGATAAACCCTGTGACCTCGCTAACCCTCAGTCTCCTCATCTGCCAATGGGAGGCAATGAGACGGTGGTGAGACTCAAGCAAGAAGATGCACTGGAAGTTCTTTGTAAACTGTAAAGTGCTATAAAATGCCAGTGCCTCTTTTGATCAAGTCTTACTGTGAAATTACAATCCACACAGTGAGTCGATAGACTTACCTCCAACCAGAAAAGAGGGTTGGGGCACATCTTCTCGTACATCTCATTGTCAGGATGCGCTGCACAAAGAATGCATCCTTCCTCCAAAGAGGGGCTCACTAGCTTTCTTCTACTGCTGTATGAGTCCCATGCACAGCAAGAGATTCTCCTGGGATAAGAAATGCTCCCCACATTGTGATACGCCCTGAGATGGGGCATTTCCCCCCCATGTGAGAAACGCTGCTCTAAAATATCTCTGGGCTACCCTTGTTTCTATGCATGTCTTTAAGACGCTAACAATTCAGTGCTGACGGACAGGGCTCTTAGCATGCTGGGTCCCTGCTGTTCTATTTCCATGTCCCACCTCTTTGCAGAGATGACTTGAAGATGTTTACAACAAAAGACATATTCATAAAAGATTGGGTGAACACAATAGAAATAGAAAACCAGGCACACAGAAAGGAGAAGAAAATGAGCGTGTTTGGAGAAGGCCTCGTGTCATTCAGGTCAAAGTGTCATCTCAGGCTTTGTGCTTTCTACCAGCCCTGGCGGACAGGCTCTTGGGAGTCACGCACTCTTATCACAAGGGAAGGACTGCTGGAGAGTGCTCTGGCTCCTAGCACTTCCCGTGAGTTTTGGTGAATGAAGAATCTATGGGCCACTCAGAATTTGGGAGGAAAAATCCCCCTCTGAGCCCGCTGGCGCAAAAAATTAATAATAATAAAAAAAATAATCTATGGGGGGAGCAAGGGCAATATACATAACCTAAACATTTGTACCCCCATAGTATGCTGAAATAAAAAAAAAGAATCCATAAGGAGCAGCAGAGAAAGAAACACAGGCTGAATAAAGAGGAGAAAGAGAATGAGTGTGTGAGAGGCTGACTGATTCTGGGTGGGCAACTCAGAGAAGAGCAGCAGAAGAGAAGCTGTTCTCAGGGAAGACAAGGTTTTTCCCAGCTCTATGTTCTAAATTTCTTTTTTCACGTAGGGCCTCATGCAGGATCAATTTTCCAGGTGACTGTTTTAAAGCAGATGCAGAAAGTTATGGGTTGGTCCACGTTGATATAAACAGAACTTAGATTATTTGAAGGTCATCGATTGGGAACAGTCTTTGACACTGGCTCCTGCTCTATTAGGAAAAAAGGCAAGTAGGTCCAACAGTAAGAACCAACAGTTTTTCCCATTAGGGGTGTTTCCTGTGCCTCTCCCTTCCTTTCCCTCCCCTTCCCTTCCCGAGAGCCATGGAAGAGGGTGTGGGCTGAGCTTGCTGGCATAACACGCGGCTGTAGCATCCGCAGGCCTGTGAGCTCATCGACAGCTATACACATCCGGATGCCACACACGTGGCACACGTGCCAGCTTTCGAGTATCCTTACGACTGTCCCGGATTCTAGATGGGGAGACTGAGGGAGGGAGAGGTGATGTCAGGTGCCTATCGTTGCTGAGCTGGGGAGTGACAGAATTGCATTTGTTCACCTTCTCTTCTGCTGCTCTTCTCTGAGTTGCCCACCCAGTCAGCCTCTCACGCACCCATTCTCTTTCTCCTCTTTATTCAGCCTGTGTTTCTTTCTCTGCTGCTCCTTATAGATTCCTCGTTCAGCGAAACTCACGGGAAGCGCTAGGAGCCAGAGCGCCCTCAGCAGCCTCCAGTCTACCTTCGGCCAGGCTTTGATCTCCTTGGGAAAAGCATACTTCTATGTGCAACCCATGTACCAAGCAGCATCAATACATCCTTTTTCCACCAGAAGTCTAAAATAGGATAGGCACCATGTTTCAAAAGAGTTCCAACCACTTACGGTTAGGGGTTTATAAAAAAAAATCAATTAGAAAAATTCTCTGTAGTCATTAATTTGTACATTCGTTCATTTATTCCATCGGTTCTAGGAGCACTAATTACATGCCAGAGAGATAGAATTTATGGGACTTTACGGCCTTTTGGATGAAGAAATTTAGGATGGTGCTATGGGTATTTTGGGCCATGGTAGACATGCTCAGGGTTTTGTAGGTGCCTCTGAGGAGGGGAGGACTTATCTAATCAGAGGCCAGGGTGGGGTGGGATCAGGGAAGGCCTTCTGGACAGGTGAGTGATCACTAAATAGATGAGCTGAAGCAAAACTCTTACCTTTATGTTTTAGGACCTAATGTTAAAGATTAATGAGCAAGGCCGGGTGCGGTGGCTCACACCTATAATCCTAGCACTCTGGGAAGCCGAGGCGGGTGGATTGTTTGAGCTCAGGAGTTTGAGACCAGCCTGAGCAAGAGCGAAAAAAAAGAAAGAAATTATCTGGACAACTAAAAATATACAGAAAAAATTAGCCGGGCATGGTGGCACATACCTGTAGTCCCAGCTACTTGGGAGGCTGAGGCAGGAGGATCCCTTGAGCCCAGGAGTTTGAGGTTGTTGTAAGCTAGGCTGACGCCACGGCACTCACTCTAGCCAGGGCAACAGAGTGAGACTCTGTCTCAATTAAAAAAAAAAAAAAAAGGTTATGAGCAAATGCTGATTTGTACAAAATGATCATGCGGACCTGTGCCAGGCTAGACCAGTAGTCCTGGTATCAGCAAGCCTGGGCCTTAGCACTGGGCTCTCCTCTGCGTGCTATGCCAGGCTTTCTCCATCACCAGTGGTGGGCCTTGCAAGTGTACACTGGGAAGGAATTAAGATGAGCGTTTGCCAGTGCTCCACCCCCATGGAGCAGGACAACTGGCTTCCGTTATCTCTACACAGGACATGGTGCACACCCCTGGCCATCCTTTCCAGCCAGCGCTGTCCCTGAGTTAGGGCTTCCTCCGGGGGAACCTGTCAATGTTCTTACAACAATGTTCTTAACTGTGGGCAATTTGACCCCCAGGGGACACTTGGCAATGTCTGGAGACATTTTTGGTTGGCACACTGGGGAGAAGGGGTTGCTAGTGGCATCTAGTGGACAAAGAGGCCAGGAATGCTATTTAGCATAATATAGTGCACAGGACAGACCCCCTTCCATGCACACAACACAGCAAAGAATTATCCAGTTCCAGATGTCAGTAGTGCTGAGGTTGAGAAACTCTGTCTTAGAATGCAATGGTCCCTTGAAACAGTGCTGTCCTGGAGGTGGTAGGGGACAAACCCCTGGTTCTCCTTGTAGAGATCTTTCACCTCCTTGGTTAAGTATATTCCTGGATTTTTTTTTTTTTTTTTTGCTATTGTAAATGGTATTGAGTTCTTGATTTGATTTGGCTCTTAGAGTATAGAAATGCTACTGACTTGTGCATATTAATTTTGTAACTTGAGATTTTACTGAGTTTATTTATCAATTCTAGGAGTCTTTTGGAGGACTTTCTATGGTTTTCCAGATACAAGATCATATCATTGGCAAACAGAGATAGTTTGACTTCTTTTCTGATTTGGATGCCCTTTATTTCTTTCTCGTGCCTGATTGCTCTGGCTAGGACTTCCAGTACTACCTTGAATAGAAGTGGTGAAAGTGGTCATCCTTGTCTTGTTTCAGTTCTGAGTGGGAATGTTTTAAGCTTTACCGCATTCAGGGAGGCTGAGGCAGGAGGATCGCTTGAGCTCAGGAGTTTGAGGTTGCTGTGAGCTAAGCTAATGCTACGGCGCTCACTCTAGCCAGGGCAACAGAGTGAGACTTTCTCTCAAAAAAAAAACAAAAAAAAACTTTACCCCATTCAGTAGGATATTGGCTGTGCGTTTGTCATATATGGCTTTTATTATTTTAAGGTATATTTCTTCTATGCTAGTTTGTTAAGGGTTTTGGTCATGAAGGGGTGCTGGATTTTATCAAATACTTTTTCTGTATGTATTGAGATGATCATTTAGTTTTTGTTTTTAATTCTGTTTATGTGGTGAAATCACATTTATTGACTTGTGTATGTTGAAACATCCTTGTGTCCCTGGGATGAAACCCACTTGATCATGGCGAATTATCTTTATGATATGCTATTGGATTCAGTTTGCTAGTATTTTGTTGAGAATTTTTGCATCTATGTTCAGGAAGGGTATTGGTCTGCAGTTTTCTTTTTTTGTTCTGTCCTTTCCTGTCTTTGGTATCAGGGTGATACTGGCTTTAGAGAATGGGTTAGGGAGGATTCCCTCCTTCATGATGTTATGGAACAGTTTCAGTAGGATAGGTACCAGTTCTTCTTTGTAAGTCTGGTAGAATTTCGCTGTGAATCCATCTGGTCTGTTTTATTGGGAGGTTGTTTTTTACTGATTCAGTCTCACTACTTAATATTGGTCTGTTCAGGATTTCTTTCTCTTTCTGATTCAAGCTTGGGAGGTTGTGTGTTTTCATAAATTTATTCATTTCCTCTAGATTTTCTAGTTTGTATGCATAAAGGTGTTCATAGTAGTCTTGGATGATCTTTTGGCTTGTGCAGGTGGATGGTGTTGCTGGCAATTTGGGTTGGTTGAACTTCAGACTCTTGGGTGAGTGTTCAGGTGCCAGCAGTGGTGGACTAGGTTAGGTAATCCCCAGTTCCCAGGCACCCGGATGGCACGCTTGAGTGCTGGGGGAACCAGAGACCAGGCTGGCAAACCTGCCCTCAAGCCTCCCTGAGTTCAGGCACTGGCTGTGATGATGGACAGGGGCATGAGCTGCTCTGAAAGAATTCTCAGGCAGGAGAAGGGCAGATGCACTGTGAGCCTGCCACAGGAGGGGCGGAACCCTCCTGACAAGATGAGCAGAGGCAGGCAGCTGTGGTATGCACAAGCTGCTCACACCTCCCTCTCTCAGCAGTGACGGCAGTCTCTGTCCTCCAGGGGCACCAAAGCACCCAGATTCCCAGCTCCCACCCTGACCCAGCTGCAGCAGAGATGGTGGGGGCAGCTCAACCGACTATGTGAAGGGCTACCGCACTAGCTGTGCACTGTGGCCGAAATGCTCCAGTGGGGGAGGTGCGATTGTGTCAGGAACTTACCTCCAGGGAGGGTGGGGTCCTCCCAGAAGAGCCCTGTAGCTCAGGGAGAGGTCTGCTAGCCCTTCCCTCCTTGGAGGGAGGTGGTAGCTTTTGTCTTTAGGGCACACAAAAGCCCTTGCTGTGGCTTTTTAGAGGGAAAGCAGTGAGCCCCAAGCTCCATGGAATACTGGGTGTGATAGGTGCTCTGTTAGAGGTGGGGCGGCCACAGGAAAGTGCCCTGGCTTAATCTTCCCCTGTGGAGCCCCTCGCTCTCCAAGTGGAAACAGCCATGGCTGCCTCAGCAGCAGTGGGTGGGGAAGGAGAGGAGGAGGAGAATGCCTCAAATTGTGGGGAGCTGGTGCCCTGGTCCCCTTTGTCCTAAGGGGCCCTCGGGGCATGCTGCATTCTCTTCTCAGCTGGAAGCAGCCCACCCTGAAAGCCCAAGCTACATTCACAGTTTACCTTTTGAATATTTTTCCTATGGAGGAAGGAGCCCATAGAGTCACAGTGCTTAGTGCCCATGAGTGTCATAACGCTGCTCTGATCCGGAAGTGTTCTCTGAAGCTGGGCTGAAGTAAAGGATACTTAGGCATGGAGGTGGGTGTTAGAGTGGTGACTTGAACATCCTTTCCAGAACTGTCTCTGTGAGAAGCCCAGAATACTCTCAGAGCTGTCCCATTGTACAGACCCTCCCCTCTGTGGTCTGGCTGGGCCCAGGACCCCATTGGGCTCATCACATAGAGTGGCCTGATTTTCATATTGGCGGCCTTGTCGCCTGGCCACACTAGAGATGATGCTCTCATGTATTTCTCACCCATGACCAGGTGCACAAATGTGAGCCATAAGTGTATGTTTTAATGCCCTTTGAAAACATGGAAACAGGAAAGCTCATAGTAATTATAAAAGCTAACATTTACTGCACAATGACCCTGTGCCAGGCACTGAACTGTGTGCTTCATGCTCCAATTTAATTTTCTCAACCATCTATGAGGTAGGTGCTATTGACGTTTCTTTTATATAGATTAGAAAATTGAGACTTAGAAATATTAGGGATGTGCCCAAGGTTAGCAAATTATATTGCCAATAAGTTGGAGGGAAAGTCTACAATTCAAAGTTAATTTTGGTTAAACTGGGAGGAATGCAAGGGACTATTGACCTTAGAGCATTCTGTATGCACTGCACTCATTTACATTAGTCTGTTACATTCATTCACTCACCCATTCATTCAGTCTACACTGAGCGTGGGGGCCACACTAGAAGCTGGGATGAGTAAGAAGAGTAAGACACAATCCTTGCATCCTGGGAGTTGACAACCCAGCAGACGAGATGGATAAGGAAAACATCCATTATAATAAACATGCTGTGGGGAGGCCCCTGGCAGATGGAAACACAGTTCCGTGTGAGAAGCCTACCCATTTTCTGGCTTTGGGGTTGGCCCCCATCTCTTCCCCAACAATGCTGCCTCTCTGCCAAGGCTTCAGCCAAGGCACCCATTCCCTTTGTATGGCCCTAGACTTCACCTGGAGGCCCCGCTGTAGATCATAACAGAGGAAATCACTGGTCTTTTGAGTCTGGACCTAAAATCCCCAGCTGGCCAACAGCTATCCCAACCCCCTGTCTCTTGCCTCTGGAATTCTGTCTGTCTGTCCAGTTGAAATTAGGAAATCCACTTGATTACTCTTGAAATGTCCAGCGGTGTCCTTCTGTTCCCTGCAGAGTGCTGATGGCGTGCTCAGCTCCCACATTGATGGCCAAGACAAGAAGAAGGATGGGCAGCCCGGGAGTTCCAGCCTGGCCTATGGTGTCTTGGACGTCCCTCCGTGGTATCTCTGCATCTTCTTGGGGATTCAGGTAATGCCTCCCAGCGAGCACGAGGTCCAAAGAGGCTCTGCCTCAAAAGCCACATCAACACACAGCCAGGTCAGATTAGTCAACACCAATAACTTCAGTTGCTGGAGTTGTCTTTTTCCATGTTGGGGAACTCAAAGCTCCTCCAGTCTCTCTCCAGGGGCTTGGGGTTAGGGGCCAAGAATTAGAGGAGGGTTTTTCCCTCACACTGAGCTGACTGGTCAAATCAAGGACACTGACTGGGCTGTGTTCTCCCAGGTGGGGTAACTGGGCTGGTTAAAGGTCCAGTTCACTTGGGTGAGGCCAGAAAGGTACCGGTCACCTCTGCTTCCTTAGGGCAAGCCCTGCAAGCTCTGTAGCTGCTCTTCCTGATTCAGCTTCCACCGAAATGCCTGGCATTCTGTACGATCAAGAGATTTATTTGATAATGAGCGAGACTCAGCCCTGTCTGGTATGTTTGGTTATCCAAACTTAACATATCATGCCGGGCGTGATGTGAGATGAAAAATAAAACACTGGGTGGATTCTTGGCCTGGAGAATATTGTGGCCTGTATCAAACTAGCTGGTGGCAGGTCGAAGAAGCATTTATAAGATACTATGAAGGACAGTCGGAACAATGGCAAGGGTCGTCAAAGTGCCCCTAGGATACACAGGCATTTCTTCTCTGAAAACCCTCCCATATCGTCTTCCCCCAGGAGGCAGCCAATCCCCTGGTGACCACAGTTTGTCTGTTGAACCTGCTAGGTTAACCAAATAACAAAATATGAGCGACTTTGTCTCTTAGTGAGAGGTTGAGGTCTCCCCTGCCCCCTATATACATACATCGCAGCCCCCCTTACCCCACTGCCAAAGAGCAGAGCTGATCACATGGGAAGATTATTCTGGGACGTTCACTGAGGGGATTAACCATGATTGGTTGAATGGTCCCTTTGAGACACTGCTCCACATGGTAACAGGAGCTGCTACTGCCCCCTTAAAGAAGACCTGGCCATTCCTCTCCTTTGCTTTTCTGCAACTTTCACTCATATGGCTGGAGAGACGTGGGGCTCTCCCTCCCCAGGTGTACTGGCCCAGGTGTCTTCTGGGGTCCAGGCCTGTGGGCAAGATGCTCTCTTGCTCTCTTCCTCTGGCATGGGGACGGGTGTAGTCCTCTGTCCTACTGGGATATATATTTTGAGACTCAACTTTGCCTGGGGATGGGCAGGGGTTGGAAAAGCAAGCCTGTGCAGTGCATGGATATTTTTTTAAGTTTAATTTTCTTAAGAAAAATCAGCCTTTCCAGTGGTTTAATTTCGCTCACACTGAGATTTGGAATCAAAGTCCCAACTAGATAAGGGCATAATTTGCCTCGCTTCACCTTCTTTGTGTGTAGATCTCGCTCAGTGTTGTGGGCAGGAGGGCTGTCTGGGACAAGACAGGATCAGGTATTCTGGGTCTTGTGGCCTAATTCCATCATAATGGCACCTAATGGCGATTCTTCTCTGAGCAACCCCTTATGGCCAGCGGCTTTTTGTTTTCTTTCTTCTTTCTTCCCCTTCCTCCTAGCCTCCCTCCCTACGGCCCTCACCAAATTCTTTCATTTTTTATTGTCTTTATGGACTGAACAGCTAACTTTTGTAAAACGAGGCAAAGTAAGCCTGCCTGTCCTGGCTTGATTTATGCCATATTCTTACAGGATCAGGTGGCGAAACTGTACCGTAAACCTGCAATGGTGCATTCGCTGCTCCTGATGGTGGCAAAGCAGAGTGATTCTATCAGCACCAGAAACTCGAGGCCCTGTGGAAATGCTGGGAGAGGGAGGACCTAAGGTGTCAGAGAACAGGTTGGATGGGAGCAAAGGAGAGAAGCAGGTGGCTTTACATGTCTTTGTTCTCAGAATATTTGGTTCAGTGGCAAGATTTGTGTGAGGACTGGAGCCACATACTGGCCGGTGGGTGTAGCTCAAACAAAACTGGCCACAGCCCATGAATTCCTCCAGACCCGGCCAGCCTTTCAGCTCTGGGACTAGAGCATGTGCCATGGTGGCCCATTCCTGTATTGATTGATTGCTCCTGTATTGATTGATCAATCAATCAATCCATCTGTGATCTATATCTAATTTATCCCCATTGTAACCAAGGCTGCCTTCTGGGGATTCAGCCTTGCCCTGAACTCTGGGTCTAATTCTTTCCTGTCCAGGGTAACTCAAACAGCCTTTGGCCAATTGCTCCAAGCTGGTGCTCAGGCCTTCCTTGTCGACAGTCTGCTCTAAGAGTGTGCCTCGTTTGATGATGAGCCTCCTATCTTGTTCCTGCTCTTAAAGTCCCCCCTTGGCTCCTGTTATACCCTCCTATGCTTGTGTCCCTGCCTTGGTTTCTTCCCCAGGACATCAGTTCCCGGTGCCAGGGCCCTCCCTCGAGACCAGGCTCTCTGTCTGGGTCCCTGCTTCCCAGTGCCAGGCCTTCCTAGTCCCCCTGCCTGCCTGGGTCTCTGCCTGTCACTCATGGTCAGGTGCCTTTGAGGCCAGAGGCAGGCCTCTCCTCTGCCAGTGGGAACCGCACCCTGCTAAGGTTGGTTGCACTCTTGGTTGTGCAGCCGCAGCGTCACATACCCAGCTACTCTTGCTCTCTGCCCACAGCACTTCCTCACTGCCCTGGGGGGAATCGTGGCGGTGCCGCTGATCCTGGCCAAGGACCTGTGCCTGCAGCATGACCCCCTGACCCAGAGCTACCTCATCAGCACCATCTTCTTCGTCTCTGGCATCTGCACTCTCCTGCAAGTGTTTTTAGGGGTCAGGTAGGTAAAACTTCTCCCCGTGGGTTCTGACTGTCACCTGCCAGGGTGTCAGCAAGGGTTGCTTGGCTGGTAGCTGGAGAGATGGTTAGGAAGCTGGGGTGGCGTAATCAAGAGAGCACAGGGATAGGAGTCAGAGCCTGGGTGCAAGTTCCAGCTCCATAACTTATTATCTACGTTAGCTAAGATTCTTGATGGAAAGTAATGCAAATCCAGATTAGCTTAAGCAAAAATTTATTCTTTATTAACTTATAAGATAAAACCAAGAGAAAGGCAGGGGTGTGTCCATGCCTCGGGAGCATGATGAACCAGGGCTCCAATGCTGCCGGGACTCTCTCTAGCTCTGGTCTCCACTCTGGCCTGTCCCTGATATTCGCAAGACCCTCAGCAAGAATACAAATAGAGACCCACCTGCTCCACGTCTAAACATTGGAAAGTGATAAACCAAGCTGACAAACTCTGATGTGAAACATGTGAATTTAGAATTCTCTGACCCCATGGAGTTCTGCTTTGGAATGCAGCACCCTGGGGAGGGCCAGCCCCAGCCTATGGCCTCCTCCCTTCACTCCCCGCTTTAAGCTTTGCTCCCGATCACAAATGTTCTCCTGGGCATGGTTGTGGACACCCCATCCTGCACATCCAACTTCCATTTCCCACCCCCTATGACAATGTACTCCCCACACAGCTGCCCCACACTGCTGGCCCATTGCCATCCTTCAGGCCTGGGGTGTGCACACACCTGCACCATTGTCGGCCCTCAGCAGGGTGGACCTGCAGAAGATGCCCAAGTAGGCTCTGGAAGAAACTCAGGGCCATTTGGGCAGAGAATTTTAAAGACTCAAAGGGGAGGGGGACATAGACTTCAAGTGAATGTATCCGCTTGGCCCTGTAGACCCCTCCCAAGAAGCCAGAGTGGACCCTCTAAGGCACAGGGCTAAGCATAGGGAGCTCTCTTCTCCTGGTTGGAGGGCGGGACTGTCTCTTCAGTACTTGGCCAGTGTAGACAGCCTTCCTGCATGTGTGCATTAGTCAGCGTTCTCCAGAGAAGCAGAACCAATAGGATATATAGAAACATAAATGTAAGAGGAGGTTTATGATAGGAATTGGCTCACATGGTTATGGAGGCCAAGAAGTCCCACGATCTGCTCTCTGCAAGTTGGAGAAGCAGGAGAGCTGGTGGTGTAATTCAGACTGAGTCCAAAAGCCTGGATATAAGGTGGGTGGGGGCTGGGAGGCCAATGGTGTAAGTCCCTCTTGAGTCCAAAGGCCTGAGAGAATGAGAGAATTTGCCCTTCCTCTGCCTTTGTGTTCTATCTGAGTCCTCAGTGGATTGGATAATGCTCACCACATTAGTGACGGTGATCTTCTTTACTCAGTCTACTGATTCAAATGATAATCTCTTCCAGAGACCCCCTCACAGATATACTACGTAATGTTTTACCAGCTATCTGGGCATCTCTTAGCCCAGTCACGTTGACACATAAAATCAACTGTTGCAATATGACTGCAGGCAGGGCGAACACTTACCAGCCAAAAGCAATTGAGTACTGTTCTGGGTAGGCACTCATTTTAAAATTCCAGGGAAGAGCTCTGATTGGCCCAGCTCAAGCCAAATGTCCAGCCCTGAACCTCCCAAGGCAACAAATATGGCAACTCCCATTCAGGAAAGTTCCCCAATGAAACAGAGAAGATGAGTTCTGTTCTGGGTAGAAAAGACAACAGACATTCACTGAACCAGATACGAGGTTTGGGACCTGTAAAATAAAGTTAATGAGTATATGTGCCCCTGCTCCCTTGCAGGTATCACTGAGATGATAATGGGTGTAATCAGTGGAATCACTTTTTCTTTCTTTTTTTTCCAAACCATTAAGTCCTTTGCGTTCATATGTGAGCTGCTAAAATTAGCCTGAGTAAAATGAAGTCCTAATACTCTGGCCTGGGCACAACTGTGAAGCCTGGGAAATGTGTCTTTGGAGTCCTTCTTTTCCTCATTTCCATATAACCTCTCTTTTCTCATTCTCCCCACTCCTCCTTGCCCCATGTTGACGCCCTAGAACCCCACCCAGTGGCTTCTTTGGGTTACATTTTCTCAGTGGGTTTTCTGGACCTTTCCTGTTCACCTCCCTCACCCCAAACCTGTACTGCAGTGCCTCTTTCCAATGTGATTTTAAGAAGTCCAAAGCCTTATGTATCATTCTCCCCCACCTCTCTGGAAGCTGGAAGGATTTGTTTTATTATTCCAATGTTGTGAATTTTCACTTATGTCTCGTGGCCTGAGTTTATTTTCATCCATTGTACTTTGTACTCAATAGGCCCTTTCAATATGCAAATGCTTGTCCTTCAATGTCTTTGAATTTCTTTCTGAAAATCTTATTATTCACATGTTGGAATCCCTGGACTAGTTCTCTAATTTTCTTATCCTTTCTTTCCTATTTACATCTCTTCGTGTTCTTGCTCTTTTAGGGGGATGAAACTACATCAATTTTATCTTCTAACTCTTCTACTGAGTTTATTTCTGCTATAGTGCTTTAAGAGTTCTTTTTGTTTTCTGAGTATTCCTTTTTATGCATCCTGTTCTTGTTTTCTGAATGCAAACTCCTCTTCTATTTCAAAGATATAAGTGAGAGTGATTTTTTTTTTAAGTTATCACCTCTTTGCAGGAGAAGTTACTTTTATCTGTCTCTTTATTTGGGTCAACATCATCCATATTCCCTTGATTGTCTGGTGATCCTTGCATATCTGCTTGTATTTAAGAGTGGGGACATAAAAGTGTGACTGGAAGTTCTGAGCCTGAGAAAGTCTTGTTCACCTTGGGCTTCACTGTAGCATGATATGCAGCAGTGCCCCACAATCCCACTGCAGAAGTCACAATTCACATTATCATCTTCAAATGGTACCATGATCTAGCTGGAGAGGCCCACATTTCAGCATCCTTATGCTTTTCCTCTCATACTGCTGCATTTTCAGAAAAGGATCTTCCAGGCTATTGCCTGGAAGGTAAAGGCCTGGCTGAAGTATTCTGGGAGATTAATGGGAAAGTGAGCTGGAGATTTTAGTGTTCAGCATGCATACATTAAACGAATTACCCCAGCATTCAGTATGGTGTCTCCTCTTCCAACTGCCTGATTTCTTGCAGCCCAGAGACCCTGTGTTTTGCCTTTTCCAGAGAATAAACTCCTAGTCTTCTGCCGAGATGGGGGAAACACCTGGCTGGTGCTTAAAAAGAACTTCAAATCTGTTTTAGCTCCACATTTCTCCCTACATTGAGAATCAATTCCTGAGACTGCATTTTTCACAATATTGCCTTTTACCTCTTGCTAGCAGAGGATTTTGCTTCTCCAGGGCTGTTGAATCAGTTACCACTCTCCATCTGCTTTTCAGCTTCCAAAATTTTGTTGCAATTATCTCCTGCTTAATTCTCTTTATCCTTGTGATTTATGCTTCTAAAATATAATTCAGTGTCAATTTAGTGGAGTTTTAAGAAGGGACAAGTGTACAACCTGACATTTTTATCCAGAAATCAATGTTTTTCTTATTTTACAAGGAAATCAAAGCCTATAAAGAATATTAAAACTTTGTCTTTATTAATTGCTGTAAACATTTTTAATGTGTCTTTAATTTTGAATAAGATATTTTTGCCATACCAAAGGTTTTATATTTCTATGGTAAAATTTTGATCACTTTTAACCTTTAAAACTTAGTCTATTTTTGGGCTTAGAAATTCTTTCTATATCTAATAGATAAGATAAATATTACCTTATTAAAAAGTACTATGTTGTTTAGATTTTTTTAATTTTAACCATTGAGTTCACCTGGAATTTATTTAGGTGCATGTTGTAAAGTGAGGTTTTAAATTTATTTATATTTCTCTCCAAAAGGCAATTTCCTCAACATCATCTGTTGAACAAATAACCCATTTCTCACTGGGAATCATGCCGCTTCCCACCACCCACCCTCGTCCATGGAAAAATTGTCTTCCATGAAACCAGTCCCTGGTGTCAAAAAGTTTGGGGACTGCTGTTATAGAAAATTCTTTCCCTAAGTCTTCACATCAGGGAAAGCTGTGGGAAACACTTCTTGTTGCAGGATTTTGTACAGACCTGAGGTTGGCTGACCTCTTGTTCCAGCTGCTGTTTTCTCAGTCTATGCTAAAAAGTCCTTGAGTTTATAGTTCTTCTTTGGGCAGTGTGGTTTTGTAAAGACCACTGACTTCCTTCATCATGAACAATTTCAAGTACATTGTTGTCTCCACCCGTTTATACTTCTCGTAACGTGACTAAAAATTTCACAATTCTGGAATTCCCCTTTCCTTCTTGTCTTATGAGCCAAGACTATTGTCTGGGAAAGAATGTTGGCTGTTGTGGACCCTGGACGGCCTGCATCAACACCATCCGGAGTGCTTGTTAAACGTGTTCTTTTCTGGGCCCTCTCACAGACCTACTTAAACATCAGAACTTCTCAGCGTTCTGGAAATGTTAACAGAATCCCCAGTGATTCTTATGTAGATGAATGTTAGGGACTCAAGAGAGACTAGGATAGGTGGGGAAGGTGAGTGAGTCAGATGACGGCCTCCTGTTTCTTGTGGCAGTGTAGCCATGGACTTGGGGAGATAATTGATGAGGTCACCTGCCCAGTTCTGGTTTGGAGGGTAAAGCGTGTGGCAGGTAGTCAAGAATATACTCTTCAGTGATCCTCATCACTGCTGTGATTAGTAGCAATTATGCCTGAACCTTGAGTTTTGCTTTGGAGTGCTGCAGCATGTTTGTGCATTCCCCAGGGGTTCTGATGAAATTTGGAGGAAGCATATCTAACATGTTTAATCATTCTCCAAGTTACCCTGAGGGCACCCCCACTCTCCCCTGTCAGTTATCAGGCCTTGCCGACCTCTTTGAGACATGTACATCCAACCAGGGAAGTCCAGTAGGCTTCACTTTGTGTCTTCTCAGAGGCCGTCCAGATCCAAGTGGGCTTATTTGCATTAGATTTCCTCATCCCTCATCCCTCTAGAGTGGGGAGAAACAAGGGGAAACTGTTGGTGACAAAGCAATGAAGAGGAAAACCCCAGGTCGACTCCATGATTCACTTTAAGTGAGGTGGGGCTGCAGCCTGAACACTGGGGCCCCACTTCTATTTTCCCTGGGCCCAGCCTGGGACCCCATCTGTCCCTCCTTCCTGTGTGGTAATAACAGTAAAGGTGGTGCATGTATGGGCACTGCATGGCCTGCGAAATGTAATTCTCATAACACCATTTGAGGCAGGTATGCTTATTAGGCTTATTGTACAGAGGAGGAAACTCAGGCATAGGGAGATTTGGTAACTCACCTGTTTTCCATTAAATCTTTGCTAAACATCTTAGTCTGCTCAGGCTGCCATAACAAAATACAATAGGTGGCTTAAACAGAAATTTATTAGTCCTAGTTCTGGAGGCTGGAAGCCCAAATCAGAGTGCCAGCATTGCTGGGGGCTCTAGTGAGGGCTCTTTTCTGGTTTGCAGACAGCTGCCTTCTTGCTGTGTCCTCACATGGCAGGGGTAGGGAGAGGGAGTGAGAGTCTCTTCTTATAAGGGCTCCAAGCCCATTACGGGGCCTCACACTCATGACCTCATCTAAACCTAATCACCTCCCAAAGACCCCATCTCCAAATACCATCGTCTTGGGGGTTAGGGCTTCAACATATGAATTGTGTGTATGTATGTGTGTGTGTGTGTGTGTGTGTGTGTGTGTGTGTGTGTTTGGGGGGGTACACAAACATTTGGTCCCTAGAACTAAGTGACTGGTACTTCTCACAGAGGTAAGCAGTTTTGGTGTGTTGGTAAATGGAGGCAGCGTAGCAGATATTCCATTCCAGGAGCAACTAGGGTACCTGTCTTTTAAGCGGAAGATTTCTTGTAGGTCACAGAATCCCTGGATCTTCAGTAATTAGAAGGTCTGAATGCAGTCAGTCTTCTATGGGCACAGCTTCTACCCTTGCTGCTGTGGCATCATTGGCTGAATCCTGAAATCGGAAGTCCTAGTAGCCTTTACTCTAATGCCTCAAGATTGCCTGCTATGAGTGGGCACTGAGAGTCATTTGTGGTTCTTGCCCTCGAAGAGATGAGAGTCTCAAAAGTAGAATCAGATATATGAATAAATAATTACAAAACAGTGTAGGAGGTGTAATAATACTGTTAAAGTCTAAGTGATGTGGTAGCAAGAGAAAGGGGTAGTTAACTTTGCCTAGGAAGTCAGAGAGGCTGTGACACTTGAAAAATGCTAGAGAACCAGTTGGAGGTGGGGGCCGGGGTGGGGAAAAGCCATTGAAGACAGAGGCACATTCATGTTTACTGAGCATGTTTCTGGCATGATGGATACCATGGTGAATAAAGTCAGACATGATTCCTTTGACATCTGAGGTCAAACATCCTTTCCTCAGCCCCATCATCCTAAGCCAGGACAGTCCTCTCTGTTACGTGCTTGCAAAGCACCATCTAACTTTCTCTCACAGCACTTAATCGGTTTGCAGGGACACATTTGCCCTCCTTCACTAGAGAGGAAGCTTCTGTCTGCAGTGATTCTATCTTTGCTCTTCCCTCATGCCTGAAATGTAGTGTGAACCCCCCAGATGAGGGGGAAGGCTGATGTGCATGACAGAAAGGGTGGGGCTTCTTGCCCAGTTGCCCCCAGCTCACCAAATCCATGTCACTCCTTCTCTCTTGCAAAGGAGTACATAAGAGCTCAGAGAGAAGGGTGGAAATGTAACTTCTCAATACTTCCAGAAAGTTAGATGGTCCCATTGCATGGGCCAAAATAGACCACAAAATGTCCCATGTTATTATTAGCATAAATTTTTTAAACAGTTTGTTCTTACAGCAAACACATTGTTGCAGTTTGTCCTGTGACTCACACTTTCTGATCGGGTAGTCTGCCACTTCCCCAGCATCAGTTCCCTCAAACACAAAGAATGCGGTATCTCCCCCGCCACTGTGAAGGGATCTTGAGATAATGATATGAAAGCACCACACAGCTTTAAAATACTATATAAACTTATCCCCAAGAACACATTTCTGTGACTTTTCCAGGCCAAAACCATAGTCTTCTCAGACTTAAGATACATTCCTGAGGCTCTGGGTCTTGACATGTTGCCTCTTCTAAGAGACCATGCAAGGCATTCTCATAAAGGAAAATGGTGTTTTCTCTTCTTCAGGTGTGAGCATAAAGATGGATGGTACAGGGTAGAGAGAAGAGCAGGGTAGATGGGGACAGCCTGCCCATGTTTTCTACGGGATGTTGTAGGGGTGACAGTGGAGATTTGCCTCCAGATCCCAGTGTATCTGCACCCGGACCAGCCCTTCTGTGGTGGTTACACCAGGCTGGGTGTAACAATTTGGGGTGGGCAGCAGGTGGAAGGAACAGACAGAAAATGAAATTAGGGGAACTGAGTGTAGAGTGGTAGGTCCTTGCTGTTTCGTAACATATTCATAAGCCTCTTAAATCCTATTTGGAACAAGATGAGGTATGGATAAATAGCTAATGTCCCAGCAGTTGTGGGACATTACCAAAGCACTTCTTCCAAATCAAATCTAACAAAACAAAAACAAAATGAAGAACAGGAGAGAGAGAGAGAGAGAGAGAGAGAGAGAGAGAGAGAGAGAGAAAGAGAGACAGAACACTGAAATAGATCCAACAACAATACCAGGAAGATAATCTTCAAAAATATTTAGTAGATCAAATAAAAGCAACTCCATCCCAATTAACACATGTCATGACACCACATGAAGAGAGCCAGGCATCAAACATTAACCCTTACATATTAGCATTGGCCCTTAAAGTAGATAGATACTGTGTACTCTAAGGGCTAGGACAGAAGAAATCATGACGGCTAAAGAGGAGTAAAGCTGAAGCTGTGGAACGCTGAAGGGCTGAGTGGGTGCCACAGACCGAGGGAGCTGATGCTGAGATGCAGCCTTAGACCATGCCTACCACACAAAAGAAAGGCAGGGACATGAAAACAAAGCTTAGAGAACCGGCCTGCGAAAGATGGGAAATGCCAAACAACAGTAAAAAAGTCCACGTTGTAATAGCATTTATTTAGATAGTACATTCAGGAAAGTGTCCTGTGTGAACGACCTTCTCAGGAAGTACCTACACATCCCAGGGAACAATAAAATAATGAAAATTGCTGCTATTTCCTGAGCTCTTATATGCCCTAGACATGGGGTTAAGCATTTACACATATTTAATCTTTACAGCAACTTTCTGCGGGAGCACTAGTATCTTTATTTTATCAAAGAGGACACTGAGGTTTGTGGCAGTTGGGCAACATGCCCAGGTCACACAGATGCTAAGAGGTGGATGCAGCTCGAAACTCACCTTCAGTGTACATCGTGCTCTTCATCAGTATCACAGGGCAGTGAGAAACCCACATATGAGTGAGGAGACCCCAGCATGCCTCGTGATTCTGCCACCAGGGAACTCTATGACCTTAGGCCCCATGTCCCTTATCTAGAAAATGATAAGGCCAGGCTAGGTAAGTTTCAAAGTGCTCTTCCAGGCCAAAAATGCTGTGAGTTTTTCTAATCAACAGTCAAGAGACATTTAAGTCAGAAGGCACACAGAGAATAACAGTGAATCATACCTATGGACAAATTTTAAAAATAGGGGTTGCCGTCATGGTAGCAGATGAAATCAATTATGAAATAAAAAAGAGCACTGAGATATGATCAAGGTCATCATAGAAGGTAAGTGCTCTAGAAGAAAGGAAGCCTGGTAATGAAACTGAGTGCCCATATCCCAAACTTGTAGCAGAAAAGTGCATAAAAGAAAAACTAGCAGAAATGTAAGATATATAAATCTATCTATGTATCTATCAAGAATTGTACTTAAAGATTATGTCAAGACTTTGAAAATAGGACTAGTTAAGAAACAAAAGGGTACAGATAAGATGTTATGGGAAGGAAATAGGAATGCCTAACAAAATGGAGTGGCGGGGGGGAGGAATGAATGGAAAATGAAATTGGAAGGTCTGAGTACAGAATAATGAAGGAAGAATTTATTGATACAATGTGTGATCCTAAAGATAGGATATGGTAATACATTGAAGCAAATAAATGGAAAGAAACCCATCTTGCTCTTGAACATAAAAGATATTTAGCAATTACGAAAAGGCAGAAAGCCCATATATCACATTATCCCAACCACATATAATAATCTTCAAAGAAAATAACATAAATGAGTTAGAAAAATGCTCAACTATTTGAAAATTTTGGAATATTCCCTTACATAATTTCTGTGTTGGGAACAAATTGCTGCATACAATAACAGAAAATATTTTTTAAAAATGAAAATAAAGCTCACTATCCTATGTAAAGAATTGTTGTAAATCAATTTGACAGTATCCGAATTCTGTGTAATGAGTAGATAGTTTATAGACAAGGAAAAACAGACATAAAATCACATGAATGAATGTGCATCATTCATGGCTTAATGAAATGCAAATTAACACTTGTTACGGTTTCATTACGTGCCTATAAAACTAGGAAAAAAGTCAAAATGATAAAACCCAACATTGGCAGGTTTTTAGTGGCACCAGGTTCAGCGCTGGAGCGTTGGAAACGAAAAATAATGAATCCCTGCCCTTGTGGAGCCCAGGAATAGAGAGATGGCTAAGACGACGGAGGCACGCTGACATTGTGGATGGTTTGCCTTTGATCCCAAGTCCTTTCAGGCCAGTGGCAGGCTGGTGCTAGAGGACCTCGCAGGTAACTGCATCCTTTCTCCTCCTGCCAGGCTGCCCATTCTCCAGGGAGGGACATTTGCTTTTTTGGCACCCACTCTGGCCATGCTCTCCCTTCCTGAATGGAAGTGCCCTGAGTGGACACTCAATGCCAGCCAGGTGAACACCAGCTCCCCGGAATTCACTGAGGAATGGCAGAAGAGGATCCGAGAGGTAACGGGTTAGGGGGTGGGAGGGAGGAGCAGAGGGGTACACAACAGGGACTCCTGGGTAGATTCATTTGTTCAACATTCATTATCCAACTCCCTGCCAGGCAAGATCCTGGGCTTTAAGATGCTGCTGTAGACCAGACAGACAAGGATGCTGCCCACATGGAGCTGATGCTCTAGTGTTACATGTGGTGGGGCAGGGTGGGAGGGAGGGAGAGAAATACCCCAACAAGTAAATGGAAAAGGCAAATTTCAGGGAGTTGTAAGTACAATGAAGAAAATAAAACAGGGTGATGAGCAGGAGAGGGAGTGGGCTGCTGGGGTGGAAAGGGTGGAGAGAGAAATGGGGGTTCTTGGAACACACTCGCATATTTCAAGGAGGAAGAGCTTGAGGATTTCTCCAGCCAGTCCTGGGAGGCAGAGAGGGTGGGGGTAGTATTCCTGTTTTATATTAATTCATCAAACATCATTAGTTGAATACCTGGCAAGTGCCAAGCATCAGTCGTGCTAAGTGCTGGAACTACAAAGAGGAGAGAAACACATCACGGTGTTGATGGTGGTGATGATGATGATGATGATGATGAAGAAGATGATGGTGATGATGGTAGTAGGAACAGATCATGGTTACGAAGCACTTAGAGTTTTCCAGGCACTCTGCTGCAAGTTTTTCATAGACGCACAAGCACCATATTGACAAATGTCCATAATAGGCTCAGGTTAATGGGAAAACCAACATCCAGGACCAGAGCTTGGCACCATTCTCTTGGGGGGTGCTGCCTGCTTACTCTGTCCACTTTGGACCGTTGTGCCCCTGTGCTCATCTACCATGAAGCCTGACCCTTGCTGAATTCATTTGTATCATTAGGGAGAGGAGCTGGCGGCCTTGAAGCAGGCTGTGAGCTTTGGCAGTGTTCCCAGTTGGCTTTTCTAGGTGGTAGAGAAGGAAGTCAGCACACTCAGGATTCTTGGCAGATAGATCAGCCACATCCTCAGGGCCAGCAGACCCAATAGCTTCCAGACTCCAACATCCTCACCCGAAGCGGGTGGGTGGAGGGGTGGCTCATGGGTGGGGTGCAGTTGTAGGTGTTATTGTATGAGAGAGTGAGGGTCACTTGAGATCTTTAGGGAGCCCAACCATCTACTTCCCAGATCAGCCTGAAACTCCTAGGCCTGTAGCATCTGTGTGTGGGCTGGCCCAGAGCTATGCCAGGGACCACATGCTCTGGAGCAAAGGTAGCATTACACAGCACAACGTGGTGATGGGCCTCCAGCACACTGTAGCTGGCTCAGGCATGAATACAGCCTTCGTTTATTACCTTCGCACCAACTCCCCCAAGATCACTGGAACTGGACGAGGGACGTTCCTGAACTGAGGGCTATGGACCTAGAGCAGGGTGGGCTCCCTGGATGTCTCTGGGAGTCAAGCTAACAAGCCTTAGACCAGCCAGGGCCCATCCTGCAACCCACCCTGACCCACGTACAGCATCCTCATAGCCTCATTGCTGCAACAATTGTTATTCCCTGTATCCGAAATACAAAGGAGGAAGATGGAAGACGGAGGAAACAATAATGAGATTCCTATTCCTACTTATATTTGACCAGTGAGAAGGAACAGAATCTACAAAACATCTCAGTATATAATACTACTACTTTATGCTTGATAATATTAATATTGCTCTAGTTTTATTTTTCCCCCTTGCTTCCAAAGTTTGAACTGGCACCTTTTAAAATGAATTTTTAAGTCTGACAAGCATACAGAAATGAACACTGAATTCCCACAAGCTGAACTTACCCATGTAACCCGGCTCAAGAAACAGGATATTACCAAGACCCCAGACACCCCCTCGCTCCTCCTTCCATTCACCTCACCCACAAGAGTAACCACTATCCTGACTTCTAACACCACAGATTAGTTTTACCTATTCATGAACTTTGCATGTGGAACCACGCGGTACATGCTCAATTGTGTCTGACTTCTTTCAATCAACATTACATTTGCAAGATTCTTCCATATTGTTATGTGTAGTGATAGATTATTCATTCTCTCTGCTGAATAATAGTCCATTATATAAACATACAGCAATTTATTTGTCTATTCTATGTTATCCAAACTATGATTTTAAGGGTGGTATTCAGTTATTTTCTGTTGTAAATAGTGCTGATATGAACATTTGTGTATTTGTCTTGAGGTGAACATACATACGTACTTCCATCGAATATACACCTAGGAGGGGAATCACTGGGTCACAGGGTGTGCATGTGTCCACCTTTGACAAGCACAACCAAATACATTGCCCAAGTGGAGTTTCTGATTTATACCCCCACCAGCGGTGTAGGTGAGCTCCATTTATTTTACATTCTCATCAACATTTTCTATGTTTTTCATTTTAGCCATCCTGGTAGTAAACTTGTATCATTTTTATGATGCTATCGAGTGATTTAGAGGGAACTATAATTGTTCCTCCTCAACCGTAGTTCTACTTGACCTCCTTGGGTCAAGTAGAACTCCATTTTTCCCTGTGCTTACCATATTAACTGGTGACTGAAGTTCAATATCCTGATATAGACTTCGTTCAATATCGTCGTTTCCATGATTTTCATTTCATTGAGTATCATGTAAATGATCTATGAACTCATAATTAGACCATGAACCATCAGAGTCTCACATAAAAGTTCAAGCAACAGACCATGTCCTAAAGTGCCAGCATCACGTTAGGAATTGGCTGCATTCACAATGCTCTCTCTCTCCTCATTCTATGCAGCCAAGTATACTCTGGCTCCAGTCTTATTAAGACAACGTTAGATGTGTTCCATCCAACTCTGATGCCAGCACCTTTCATCCCAGACTGAAGATATATCTAGAAATATTGCTAAGAAATAATTTTATTACCAACTTGTTTTAAATGTAAAGGGCAAAAGTAGCATCATTTGGTACAGGAATTTGTCTGCTGGCTCCAGCTCTTTCTGCTACTGTCTTTCTTTTTCCCACTGGGAGCCCTTGGCCCATTCCCTTGCTCCTATCCGAGAAGGGGTTTTTTTGTTTTTTTTTTTTTGTTTGTTTGTTTGTTTTGAGACAGAGTCTCACTCTTTTGCCTGGGCTAGAGTGAGTGCCGTGGCGTCAGCCTAGCTCACAGCAACCTCACACTCCTGGGCTCAAGCGATCCTTC